TTCTTTAAGGTCCTCAGCACAATTTAATCCCTCTCTTTAAGGATATATTTTTAGGAGTAAATCTGGCTAGAGAGCACCCAACTTCTCTATCTATTTTTCTTTTAATTACCTCTGTGTGGGTCATGGCAGAAGGGAATTGCTCAGAGAAAGAGATGACAGAATCTGTCTGACCTAAGGGGCTTGTTTAATAGTTACTACTCTACGCTTACTTGTGATATATATTGGCTTTAATTACTACACAGTGACTATTATTCCTAATATGAGTGTCAGCCTTCCTTCAACTTTTGTTGTTAGTATACAATCCACATAGATACCTTGAAATGAAAAGCTAATAAAAATCTTTTCTTTAACTCAGTCTTCTGATTTAATGTCTGCACAAGCAAACCAACACATTCTATATACCACATCCTTTACAATGAATGAATTCATAAAAGGAAAGGATACTCTCAGTACTTTATTTCTGATCCATACAACTGTCTGGAAGTTTTTTCCTGTATCATTGCTAAACTGATGACTTTCCTTTTAAGAATGTGTTTTGGTCCCATGACTTTTGAGATAAAATTGTAAGACTAGAGTTTCATTAACTTCAGTGAACAATATTGGTATAACACTCTAACTTCCCATTTAAATTACTTAAGTGCATCTCTCCTTGGTGTCAGTATAATTTAAGCAGAATGATGAAAGACCGCCCTCTTGTGGTGCACTGACAAAAAAACATGAGAAATGGTGCAAAACAAGTCGCCTGAAACTGGGAACAGCCTCTTACCTGCGGAGGAAACGGTGGCTGGAGAACTGCATGTGCTAGATGCCTGCAGGCACTGGGTGTTCATCTACAGCATCCACAAGGTAGATGGCTGGGTGCTTCAGTTTGAAAATACTTTATTTTCTGTTCACTGCAGTTTTGTGTAAATTTCTAACAGTTCCAAATTTAGTAAATAAAATCCATTTCTACAAAACAGAACCACACTCACTGGTTTCAGTGAAGCTAGTGACAGAGGCATTTAGGCAAAAGTGGAATCTACTGGGGAAGATGGAATCAGAGGATTCAGTAATAAATTATGGCCAGAAGCCTCTAAGGTGACTTGGCTTGAACGCTTGACCGACAGGGCTGCTTCATTCTGAATGGTAATGGAACCTATTAAGATCCTCTCAGGAAATTTAAAGGACATTAAAGGGATCCAGGAAAGAGGGTGGTGTAGAAATCAAGAACATGGAATGTGATAAATAAATGCCAAGGGGCAGTATTTATTCTGGTTTGCCAGATTTATTCTGATTTATCCAATCAATGGGCCAGGCATTCTTCTAGGCACTGGGAATACAGCAATGAACAAAACAAGATACCTGCCCTCATGGAGTCTGAATTCTAGTGAAGAACAACAGAACAGATATGTCAGGTGGTGATAAATGCTAGGAAGAAGGAGCAGGGCAAGAGAGAGATGGGATACAAGTTTTATATCACGTGATCAAGAAAGACCTCTAACAAGGTTACATTTGAGCAAAGACCTGATAAAGTGAGAGTGAGACAAGTAGATATCTGAGGGAAGGAAGTCAGGCAGGATACGAGCCCAAACCCCTGCGGCAGAAGCATGATCAGTATGTTGGAGGGAGAGAAAGCAAGTTAGTATGACTGAAACAGAAAAAGCAAGAGAGGGATAGGTTAGACACACAGCTGCCATCAGACCACAAAGGGCCTCTTAAACATTGCAGAAATGTAAAGATAGGAAGTCACTGGAGGGTTTTGAGCAGAGAGATAACATAATATGACTTAGTTTAATCCTGGCTGGTATGTCTGGAATCAACTGTAAGGGGCAATAACAGAAGCAGGAAGAACTGTTGGGAGTCTGTAATGACAATCTAGGCAAAAAATGCTTTGGATCAGACTGACAGCAACAGATACGTTGAGAAGTGGTTGAATTCTGGATATATTTCAAAGGTCAGAGTCACGGGATTTGATGATGGACTGAATCAAGGTCAAATTAAAAACTCAAAGGTATTTTGCCTTAAGCAATTGGAAGAATGGAGATTTCATTTGCTAAGATGAGGAAGAATCTGGAAAGAGTACTAGGGGTAGATACAGGAGGTGGGAAGGGGAGGATCAAAATGTGACTTCAGACATGTTATGTTTGAGATTTCTATTAGGACTGTGAAGTAGACAATTGGGTAATAGGAACCTGGAATTAAAGGAGAAGTTATGGCCGGAGATATACACTTGGGAATCTTCAACATACAGATAGTATATAAAGCAATGGTGACTGAATGAGATCACCTAAAAACCAAGTTATGATAGAGATCTGATGATTGACTTGTAGAGCTCTCCAGTGTTAGGCGGTCAAGATGAGAATGAAAAAGGAGTGGCCAGTGAAGCAAGAGAGATGAGTGTTGTGTCCTGACAGCCAAGAAAGTGTTTCAAAGTGTCAAATGCTGCTGCTAAGCCGAGTGAAACAGGCATGAGAACTGACCCTTGGGAGGCCACTGGTGATTTTGAGAGCTTTTTCAGTAGAGCGGGGTGATGAAACCTGACTGGAATGGATTCAAGACTGGAAGGAGAGGAAGTGGAAATAGTGTGTATAGGGGGATGTATAGCCAAAGAGTATTACTTGTTTGATCTTTTAAGAGATAAGGGACATTACAGAACATTTATATGCCAGTGGGGATGACTCAGAGAGAAAAGGTTTTGATGTTAGAGAAAGAGGACAATTAAAGGAACGTGAATTTGAAAAATGCAAAAGGATATGGATCTAGTGCACAAAAGAGAAGAGCAAAGTAGTACCAGGACTAGTGTTACTAATACAAGGTCACACTCACTAGGCACTCAGCTCCTGGATGCCAGGAACTAAGCAATTTTATACTGTTTAATTTACTTTATTCTTGTAACAACCCTCAGAGGATCATTCTGTTTTTCTTTCTACCTCATAGATTAGGAAATTGAGGAATGGAGAGGTTAAATAGCAGGTAAAGGAGCCAGAACTCCACCCAGGCAGGCAAACTCAAGAGCCTACGCTTGTAAATACTATATTGCCTCAGTCGAAGCAGGGACAATGACAACATGAAACAGAACACGAGAGCAGCAATCAGCTATCTTCCTGAGAGAAAGACCATCAAGTGTTTTTGAGAAACCGTAGCTGCTTTTATACTTCTAGAGTCCCCATGTGTCCTGAGCAGGGATAAATGACGTTCAACTCTCTTACAGGCCTGATTTATATGGCTGCTGAAAATTGGTCCTCACAGGATGATAGAGCAGTACTCTTACCAGCCCCAGTAAAGCAGGACAAACATCTCCATGGTTCTAGACACTGAAACTTGAATTATGCAACCCAGGAGTGCGTCAGCTTTTCTGGCAGCCACTTGTAGTCCCACCTTCAGACCAGTCTTTTGCCCACATATGCTGTTTTAAACATATTTAGAACAATGGCAGCATTGTTGAAACATATACCCACTCCTAAAGGGACAACTCATTTAGTATATACATTTGGATGTGTTAAAAATTCAGTCACTTTCATAGAATCAACAGACACTGTCTACATTTGATATGAAGGTATAAGGATTCTGTTTAAAGCAGCGGTTCTGAAGTTTTAGTTATTTATATATTGTATACATGACGTTGATGTATCGCCTGTATCAGTATTGATTTAATATTTGTCTGATGCACACTTCCCCATAGTTTAGTAGGCAGACACCTTATATTTTATTCAAATGTACAAATACTTACATATATGTGTTTACAAGGAACGTTTACCCGTGTATCACCTGGAATCATTTTCAGTACCACTAGTGATACATTTCACGTACCACATTCTGATAAACACTATTATGTGTCTGAGTATGTGTGTGGACATAACAGAAAAATAGACTGCCTCTGGATGTGGGACTGAGGGCTGGGAAGACTTGGTTTTCATCAAAAGCACATCCATGCTACATGATTTGCCACCATGTTTATGTACTGTTTTACTAAACATGAAACACTAAGTTAAAACAAAAATTCTGTAATACTAAGTCACTTTGTACACTGCCTGGCAAAATAGTAGGCTCAGTGTAACTACTTAAGAATACTTCTGTGTTTCATACCTTTCCTTAACATTTTTATAATTTGTCACATACTCCTGTTGCTCAAAACTGACATTCATAGATATGAATTGATTCACAAAGTTTGAGGAAAAAAGAGTCACCCACTACAAAATGAAAACTTTCAATGTTTTATTTTTGACTGCAGCTGTTTACAGAAATATAGTTGCGAGTATACAAATGTTCCAATAGAAGCAAAATATCTTTTTAATATTTAACAAGTTATCACAGATAGCTAAAAACATAGATGCAAATGAAAATCCCCCAGAGAACAAACTGAAAATATCTGGTGTCAGTGCTCTGGAATCCCAACTATGAAAGCCATATACACAAAAATGTAACCCTTATATCACTGCAGGACAATGGAAGATGGCAGTTCAGTGGTTGATCAGTGTGCTCAAGCAAACAAAATAAAGTTAAAAAAATTAAATGGCAGAATGGCAGCTAAACTACTTGAGAACAGGCTAATGAAATAACTGTATTATGTTTATTAAAAGAATAAGTAAAAGAAGTGAATGAAACTCAGTAAAAATTGTCAAAAAAAAGTAACAGATACTTGGAGCTTATCAATTAGAAATAAGGGAACAAGGTGAGCAGATACATTCATTAGATCAAAAGAAATTAGCACTATGTCATTGGAATCAGTTTGTAGCTTTGAAAATCACAAACACTTCAGTGCAGGATAGTTCTTTATTGGACACAGTCTGATTCCAAAGCTACTCCCAAACATCTGATATGGGGTCTGTGTGTGTGTGTTGTCCTGAGGTTCACTAGCTAAAAAAAAAAAAAAAAACAAAAAAAAAATAAAATAATATATATATATATATATATATATATATATATATATATATATATAATAATACACTAATAATATATATATATACGTAAGTAAGTAACGTTAAGTAACGTTAAGTAA